AATTGATCTTTTTTCAATACAAAGAAGAAAAGAAAAAAAATCTAGATATCATCAAATACTTTTACACTTATGTGTACTGTACTTATCTATTTATACACCTTTCGGTTTGTATATATATAATTGTTCTTTCTACTTTTTATATCAAATGTCTCATATTCTTTATATATACTGCATTTCTTGAATACATTCAATAAGTTGTAAAACAAACACAAAAACACCAAGATAGAAAACAAATACAAATAATTTCACCATTTTGCTGGTTACTAATTGTCATTAATAATTGCTTCCCGGATATCAACTGAAGCAAATCTCAGGGAAGCTGTTGCTACTGTGTTTCACCACAGGGGTTCAACTTGTTATTATGCATTTAAATTAGCTGAACACAACTGGAATTTATACCACTCTGAAGCAATTATAGTACCAAATTAAGGCTGAAATGTAGCTATGAATCCTTTATCTACAAAGCAGAAAAAAACTAATTACAATAAGCATGCTTTTATGATATAAGATTTGCTCACAGGATGACCTTGTAAAGGATGGAATTCTATTGTTTTTCTACAATGTGTCTACATGTAACTCCTTGGACCTTGTTTCTAAAAGAAGCAAACATATTTATTTTATAAGCACTGTCGGAAATTAATTACATATGTACAATGTGCAGAACTCATCCAGAATGTTGCAATATCATGTGAAAAGTGAGTAAAAAAAAAAACACTTCAATTTTCTGACCTTGATGGTTCGTTCACTTCCACCATCAGTTAAATGTCTAACTGTATTAAATTCCATATTCCTAAGATCGTGAATCAGCAGGATGACTTAAATCATTGATAACCTGCCAAGCCTTCATTAATAATTGAATGGTTTGTACACATGCAAGAATGATATCAGTCAAACAGTAATTACATTGTAGTTTCTTCTATCTTATATAGAAGACAAATATAGTGCTTGTCTTCATACATGCTAGACATATTACGTATCTGTAGTTCATGGGTCACCGACCATTTTGAAAGTGAGAGCTACTCCTTGGGCACTGATTACTGCAAAGGGCTCCCAATTTGATACACGCCTGAAAAAACACATCTGTTTAAATTACCTTATATAATGTTACTATGTGTGATATTTTCAGACAGTGATCATGTTATTGATATCTCAAATTAATTAAGAAACTGATATTCATTCATTCATTTTCCGAACCGCTTGATCCTCACTCGGGTCGCGGGGGTGCTGGGGCCTATCCCTGCTGTTTTCGGGCAGTAGGTGGGGGGGACACCCTGAATCGGTTGCCAGCCAGTCGCAGGGCACACGGAAACGAACAACCATTCGCGCCCACACTCACACCTAGGGACAATTTTGAGTGTTCAATCAGCCTGCCATGCATGTTTTTGGAATGTGGGAGGAAACCGGAGGGCCCGGAGAATACCCATGCAAGCACGGGGAGAACATGCAAACTCCACACAGAAAGGCCGGAGCTGGAATTGAACCCAGTATCTTTGCACTGTGAAGTCAACGTGCGAACCACTCGACTACCGGGCCGCCCAGAAACTGATATATATGCGACAATTTTCTTATCCTTACTCTCGACCAGTTTTTGCATTTTTGAATGACAATTTCTTCCAACATTCCTTTAAAATCACAATGGCCAGAGTGGGTTTTCGCCAGGTCCTCTAGTTTCCTCCTTTGGTGTGACTGTGAGTGTGAATGGTTGTTTGTCTATTTCTGACCTGCAATTGGCTGGCAACCAATTTAGGGTGTACCCCGCTTACTATTTGATGACAACGGAGATAGGCTCCAGCACGCCCGTGACCCTCGCGAGAATAAGCGGATTGGCTAATAGATGGGTGAGGCAGATCCTGCATTGTCAGCTAAACAGCAAGATGAAGATCTAGGCCATTAACACCTACGCCCTGCCAGTAATCAAATACCCCGCTGGCATAATAGCCTGTCCACTGGAAGAGATACAAGCCACTGATAATA